CTCGTATAATAAATAAATACATACATACACACATATAGGCATACATAACACCAAGTCAGCTGTAGCACCTGTAATCCAATTGCCTTCCACAAGCCCCACATCTGAGTGCAACAGGCTTTGGGGGAACATTCCAGGTCTATACTACCACATTTGTATCATATAGTTCTCTTACCCTTTAATACTTTCTCCTCTAACAATCAACATGCATCCCATGAAGGCCACAGATAAGAAACTTGGACTACCTCAGGAGTTGTATATAGTACAGCTGTCTCTCAGCCTCATTTCTTGCCTGTGTCTGCCACCTTCTGTAGCACCCTGGTATCTCTGATGATTCCCCACAAGCACATATTCTCTATTGCTGCCTCTTCTAATTTTTTCTGGTGACTGCCTCTTTCAAATCTTGGTGGGGCTCGCCTGTCTTTAATGACTGTGTACTGGCTATTTTCTACTCTCAGACCTCCTGCAGAGCACTCCCCCACACATCTCAGGGCTCCCCCATGTGAGTAGTATGCCTTCCCATCCACAGCATAGAGAACTCTCATGAGTTAGCTGTAAGAACCTCAGCTCATGCAGAAGCTGCACATCAAGGTGAGATGCAATGACGCATTCAATAATCAGGTCCTGACCATTCGACTGCATAATTCTCTCTCCAAAAAGTACCTATATTTCTCTTCTTCTCTGAGGTCAACACCACGGTATAAGCCACATCGTTGGTCTTCCGGATGACACAGCCATTGTCTATGGTCAGTTTTCTCTTCCTTTGTTCAACACTCACACAAAGGTCAGATGGCATTCTTTAAATGCACATTAAAAAGCCTGACTTCACATCTCAACTCCTCTAACCACTTCCTCATTTCCTGGGAGTCCAGGAGAACATCTTCAAGGCAGCCAAGGAAGCTCCTCCCTCCCACTCTTTCTCCAGACTCACGGGGAGGGTGTAATTTTCTCATTCTTGATTGGATGATCTGCACCCAGACTAGAGATCTTGCTCCTGATGGATGTTTCAAGCTCTGTAGATGTACCTGTCTTACTTTCTGTAATTGTTATTTTGATAACAACATTACTTGGCTCCTGCTAATTAAAAATTTTAAAAATGTTTGCCTTAGGATCTTTGCATTATCTTGGATCATTTCCTTCCACTTTTATTTTTTAAATGCTAGAGATTGAACCAAAGGATTCACATGTTAGAAAAGTATTCTACCACTGAGCTACATCCCCTTCTATTTTTATTTTCATGTTTTGAGACAGATTCTCACGAAGTTGCCCAGGCTGGCCTCAAACGCCCCGGGTCATCTCACTCATCTTTACATACTTGTTCAATAAAATACAGGGCTGGGTTTTCTAGGACAGTTCTGGCTTGTTCCTTTTTTCCAGGCCTGATAACTGACATTGCCCACTCAAATTCAAAAAGGGACCCACTTTAGATTAATAAATTACAGAGGTCAAACTATTGACCTTCCCATCTCTATTATTTGTTAGTTTATGAATGGCCCAGGTCTTATGCTGATTCAACTGATCTGTTTTTTACTTTACCACAAAGCATAATTGATATGCATTCAGTAAAAAACTCTGTTTCAAATTTTGGTGTTTCCTAGGCTGGCAATATACATACAATCCTCTCCTGTGATGCTGGGCAATGACAGGGAACCACAGCTCTCAGTGAGTCCCACTGTCACAAGAGGGAACAACCGCTAAACTGTGTGTTGCTAAACTATGGTCAGTAGGTTAGATGTATTAAGTGTTTACTTTTCTTTTCTTTGCTTGGAGACAGGGTCACCCTATGTTGCCCAGGCCAGTTCAAACTTTTCCTCCTTCGCCTGCTTCAGCCCCCCAAACTGGCATAACTATCATGCCAGCTTAAATTCATTTTTAACTTAAGATACTTTCAACTTATGAGTTTACTGAAGTATTGAACGTCTGTATTTGTCGTAATTCTAGTGTCCTACACTACTGTCCAGTTATTATAGTTTACAACTTATATATTTTTATAAAGGACAGGAAGAAAGGAGTTATAGGCTCCACATACAAAAGAAATGATAAAAATTTAAAGAGATGGAAGTGCTTTTACACTGATTTAATCACTGCGCACTGTGGACATTTATCAAATTTCCACACTGTATCCATAAACATGTACAATTATTGCATGCCAATTTAAAATAACTTAAAACAAATTGGCAATCAAAAGAACTGTGTCTTCAGGACCATAAGACATCTTTCCAGAGTCCCCACCCATCTTTCCCCACACCCACTCGATCACCAAGTCACAGAGAACCACATCATCTCCAAATGCACACTCTGGCTCACCTGTTCTCAGTTTATCATGATAAGTACTCACTCTCAACCCCAGGTCTCCGAGAATCAGTCCGAGTTTTTTTTTCCCTCTGTGGTTTAGAGACTACCAGGGAGAAGCCATCACTGTTTTGAGGCACAGCTGTCAGCAGATGTGGAGGCAAGGGCTGAGGAGGGTCCTGCAGAGGTGGCCGAGGGGCCGTGGCTTTGTGTGAGCCCTCAGGACCCAGCAGCTTCCAGCAGCTCTTTCTTTGGCCTCTGTTCTCCTCACTATTGTGAACTCTCCTTGCTCTTTTACTAAAACCCATTTATATACTCATTTTTCATATAACAAAAAGCTTTGAATCAAGTTTAAAACTGTATCCCTGCTGATGAGTAATAGAAAAATCACAAAGTTATACAAACTGCATAATCGGAAGTGCCCTTCCTAGCTAATAGGTTCACTTTCACAACCATAAGGTGTTAAACCTCATATTTTAGTACAATAAAGGAGAAATTCACCGCAAAAGCAAATTTTGCAAATCCTGAGGCTGTGGCACATCCACAAAGATCCCTCAGCCTTCTGTGTCCCCATTCACATCTGAGCACTCGCTGTCCTGGTGCAGTTACACCAGAGAGCCTCCCAGGAAATTTGCTCAGCTTATCTTTGCTTGCGAACCTTGGCTCTTAATTTTTCTCAGTTCCCTTTGGAATATCTGAGTTGATTTCTCGCTTCAGTCAATATTTCTCATTGCTAGTGTTATGTCACATTAATTCATGTATTTAAATCATATCTGATGAGCATTTGCTGTATGCATAAGGCACCATGCACACTGCCACCACCTCTTCTCATCTCTGTGGCCTGGGCACAGTTCAGATAAGTCTCTGACTTATACCAAAGCTCAGAGCATCTTCCTGCTCCCTCTTCTAGCCTTGCTAAGCCTGCCACACCCCTTAGATGATTTAACTCTTCACATTCCAACACAGAGAAACTGGTTAGTTTTGTACTATATACCAGGCACCAAGAATCCCTCAATGAAATAATCCCAGTTACTAAGAAATGCACAATGAGATTGAAAGACAGAACAATTAAACAAGCAAAAACACTATTTTGATCTCTTTAGAGATATGTACTAATTAAGAATGTTATCAGTACCAAGAAAGGACATCTAATGCAGTGTTGCGCTATCTGGGCTGCTTCTATTCACTATTGTACATATGAATGACAAAATTATCATCACCAATATGTAGACCAAATTGGATTAAAATGTCATTTATGGATTCTACCTTTGTTTGCAAATTCATAAAGTAAATTTATAAAATAAAAGAGCTTGCTGCATGATGGATGGATTAATGTTTAAATTACTAGGCTCACCTTTTCTAGTCTGCTGCTGAGGATTTTTCCTGAAGTTTTAACGTCTCTCTTCTCTGACACATTAACTCATTGCAAAGGAAATAAGTTTTCCTAACTCAGGGCAGCCCAGAGTCTTAGGTCACTCCACTGATTCTGTATTTTTCCAGTTACTTTTTTTTTGAAACAATGCCTCACCTCTCAGATTTATGTTCGGATTTGGATAGGACAAATTATCTCAGTGGTGAGGAGTCACTGTTAAGGGCAATAAACTAATGAACAGGCACCATATTGACTCGGACTATAGCTGCATGGCATGAAAAGCACCAAAAGCCTTATCATTACATTGTCTAAGAAGTAGATATGTTAGCACCAAGCTTAAAAGAAATCAGGCTTCCATTTCCTAATAAAAACATTTCCATTGCCATTTCCAATACAACCCAAATCCCTGTTCATGATTCATTTCCAAATTTTAGGTAAAAAAAAAAAAAAAAATACATGAGCCAGCACAACTAAGAAAACAAATAAAAATGTAAAATAGTGTGAGAATTTTGTTTTTCACAATAACTTTTTCAGAAAAGGAAAGCAGAGAAAACAGTAAGAAGCTTCTTTGATTCATTCCAAGAAAAATTGATAAGTACATGTTGTACCTGTTGAAATTATCTAAATAATCTCCTGTAGAAATGAAGAGAGCACCCAAACTTAATTATTCAAAAAGGTACTGGAGAAGAACTCAGAAACACTGAGCAGAGTACCCACGGCTACCTGAATTCCTGTGCATCACAGACTTCAGCATTAAGTAGAAAATACAAAGTATTCTACAACTGTATGCTCTGAGCTTCCCCAGTCCTATGGGCTGCTTAATGTTGATTGTCAATTTGGCTAGATTATGAGACTCCTGAAGAGGTGAATGCATTGTGAAGACATTCAACTCATCACTGGGTTAATCCATTGATAATTTCACAGCTAAATGGGCTGGGGGGGGGGCTAGTTGGAAAAAGTGGGCCAAAAAGACTATATTTATTCCCTGGGCCCTTCCTCTCCTGTTCTTTCCAACCCACTCTGTTTCTTGGTCACCATGAGTTGAACAGCTACCCTCTACCATTCCTACCAGTGTTTCTGCCTTAGAGCCAGTAGCCAATGGACTGAAATCTCCAAAACTGTAAGTCAAAACAAACCTCTCCTCCTTTAAGTTACAAGTATTTTGTCCCATCAAAGGAAAAAACTGACCTACACCCCTGCTTTCCCAAACAACTCCTTATCTATGAGGTTATTATTTTGATATTTTGCTGAAATTTTTAAGAGTATTGAACAGATTTTTTTTAATTTAGTTGTTCCAATCTGTGCAATAAGAACATGTTACTAAGGGGAAAAAACAAACCTGTTCTCTGAGGGCTGTGATAGTTTTTTGAACTTCCACTGCAAAATTGCTGAAATCTTGAGTGAACTTTGTTTTTGCCAAAAGCGTCACATTTCTAGCATCTTCTTTCATATCCAAGTTATTTTCTTGCCTGTTTATATAAGAAACACATAAAAGGCTGAAAAATAAAAGTTGCATAGAGATATTTAAAAATCAACAAATGTTCCTTATTTCTTAGGCACTTGGAATGCACAAGGCATTGTTATTATTGCCCTGTGATTGTACAAAGAAAAAGATATGACTAAAATTAGGAATTAAAATTAAATGTCATATAGAATGATAATCTTGTCACATCTGCTTCATGTAATTTATCAAAAATGATACGAAAGTATTTTCTATGAAATAAAGGGAACATCATGTTTTATTGCTATATTTTACATATTATTTAGATCTCGAAGTATGTTGTTTGCTAATAAATTATTCAGTTCACTTCACACATTTAAAGAGCAGTGACAAATTAAATATTACATATAATGCAATACCCAGATGGGAGAGTTGCTTGCTTTTTTATAAATTCATGGCAGGAACTAAATTCAGTATAAAAGTACTATGTCTGACAAAAATCTGATCTTACCCAGCTTCATGCTGCTAATAATAAAAGACTCAGGTTGAACTTACGATAGGCTTCTTAAGCTAAATCAAAGTTCTCAAAAAAACTACAAGTAAATAACTAGTTTTTTAGATAAAGATGAAAGTTCTATTCATCTTGGATTATAAGTTATGGTTAAAAATAGCTTTTATAGCTTTGATTTAGCTGACACGACATCTGTGTCTCAAATTTTATAATTTTTTTCCAAGGTTTGTTAAAACTTAATCCTTGAAAAGCCATTGTGACTTCCAAAAATCACTGCTTTGTTCTATTTGGAAATAAATTTTCCATTTGTAATAAGTAAAAGGGTTATCAGAAATAGTACATCCTATGAGCTTATGAAATAATTTCTGAATCAGAATCATGTTATAGAGCTTACATCGCTTAGAGCTTAGTTACTAGACAACTCTATCCTCTAACACACTGTGAGTTATGGGCAACATGAATAATAGTGATCACACACACCAGGATTTAGTCTAGTTATGTGTATACTTTTCAATTAACGTATACAAGTGTAAAAGTGTTGATAGAGACAATTTTAATAAAAATGCATAGACATATTTATTTACATTGTGCTCTGTCCTATAAATCTTCAGTATCTAATCAAAGAGAATTTAACCCCAGGGAAGCCTAGGTGAGCTGATGAAGATATAATCAAGATTTGAAATAACGAACATGAGAGCATGAGGTGTGGTTGATATATCAGATCCACAGTATTCACCATTCAACAAGTATGTGCTGGGCACCTGATATGCATTAGACATTGTGCTAAGATAGCGAGATACCAGAAATGAGGGGCTTCCATTGGCATCCTCACATTCTTAGTGAAAAGACTGATACACAAACAGAAAATACATTTGCATTAGAAAAACAAAGAAGCATACCATTGTTCCAGTAGACAATAATGCTGCATTTTGACATTTTACTGAGGTACGTTGACATTAAAAAACTGCACACATTAAATGCATACATTTGGATGATTTGGGATATATGTATACATTTCTGATACAACAATCAGGGTACTAAATCCATCACCTCCGGAAACTTCATTAGGTTCTTTGCTGTGATTGCCTTTTGTTTTCATTTTTTATTTTTCTGATGAGAAGGTAACATGAGATCTAGCCTTTTAGCATATTTTTAAAGTAAACACCATATTGTGGAAAATAAGTACTATGCTATACAGCAAATCTCTAGAATTTACTCATCTTGCATAACTGAAACTTTATGCCATTTGAGCAACAATTACCTACTTGTCCCTCCCCCAAGCTCTGGGAAACCACCATTCTCTGCTCTATTTATAAGGAAAATCAGGTAGTATTAGTTGTTCTATGACTGGTATGTTTCACTGAACATAATGTCCTTTAGGACCCCACCTGTTATGATGCTATTATTTAAAAAAATAATAAAGGTTGGTAAGGATCATGCACTGCTGGCAGGAATGTAGAATGGTGTAGCCACATGGAAAACAGTGCAGATATTCCTCAAAAAATTAAAACTAGCAACATTGTATGTCCTAGCAGTCTTATTTCTGGGGATTTACCTTAAAAATTAAAATCAGAATTTTAAAGAGATATCTGCATGGCCATGTTCATTGCACCATTATCCACAATAATAGAAACAACTCAGATGTCATTGATAAATGGATACTTAAGCAATGCTGTACAGTACACTTGAAATTTTGTTAGGATGGTAGATCTCAAGTGTTCTCACCACAATAAAATAAATTAATAAAATAAAATAAAGAAATAAATGATACTAAAATAATTTTTATCATAGAAAAAACTATATGCTATTTTATAAAATTTGTAATATGTAGCCAGATATTAAAGTTAA